AACGGTGCCCTCTATGTTCATGATTAAAAGACATAGAAGAAACACTATTTAAGTAGCAAGGAGAATTTCCTTGCTAAGAATAGATAGTGCAGTTTCCTTCTCTGTGTAAAGACATCTAAAAGATAGCTGGAAAACAACGGAGGAGGAGAGGGACTGGCCTCCAGCCCACTTCCGGCACCTCTCCCTGGAAGAATTCTATGAAAAAAGAGGTTCTCTCTGCCTGGGAGAAATGTTCACTCAGACAATTAACAAAACACAAAGGGGTCCTTTAAAAATAAAATGTAGCTGTCTGGGCCACCCTGGCCGCACTCCTCACCACTCATCTTGGGTTTTTAGCACCTTCTCTGTCCGAAAACAAACAATTCCCAGTCTTGCCTCTGGCGCTGAAATGTCATTTCAGAGCCCAAGATCTAACTATGGGTAAAGATTAGATAAGGGACCCAAAACACCATGAACACTTACATCAATACGGACAGTTTAGATTCATTGTCATTAGGAAAATAAAAAGAATGTCAAGAGAGCCTATATATTGCACACTGAATTTAAACCAAGAAAGATTGGCATGAGCCGACCAGACATGGAATCACTATGAGTCCTCAACACATTGTGACAGGAACTCAGAACAAAAGCAGGATAGTTCACTCTGCTGGGAGGCTCACTGTCTGGCTTGGGGAGACAGACGTTGTGGGTCATCTCCCAACACCCATACTCTGTATGTGACCATACTGGGCACGTTGTGATAGATAAAGATTAGTCAGTCACTTCTCTTAAAAGGGCTGAAAATTCAAGACAACAAATCTAATTCTGCAGCTAAATGTCATAATGTCCCATTTAAGATATCGTCTCATGTGCCTCCTTTCTCCACGAGTACCAAAATTTATTACGATGCTTTGGCATTAACTAGTAAGGTACCTGCCACAGCAGATATTCCAGCGACTGTAAAGCTGTACTCATTTGAGCCAATCTTCAAGTCACAAAAAAAACAAGAGTAAAACAAAAATAAATACAGATTTGGTACAACCTTTCATTCAAAACAGGTAAAATTTACCTAATTTTCCCCTTCAAATCATTGTTAAATCTCCATACATATTGGATAAAATAGTCTGAAATCTTACCTTCATGTAATTACTGAGTATTTTAAATAAAACAGTTCAAGAATATCAAAATGTAGAGGGTATACTGTAAATATCCATGTACCTACCACATTAATTATACACATGAAACCCCTGTAGCATTTAGTACTGTAAATTTGTCGCCCATGCATGTTTTTATATTTTTACTGCACATGTTTGCATTCACTAACAAATGTCTTATTTTGCATATTTTAAAATTTTATCATGTAAATACTTTCTTGTATATGCAATTTGCTTTTAGCTTTTGTTCTGCACATTTTTGATACTATTATGTGTTGATACTTATGTTCCAGTTCATTCATTCTACCTGCTATGTAATGATTATATCATGATTTATTCAAACGGTCTCCAGTTTTGATAGGTAGCTTATAGGAGAAAGAGCAGAGAGTATCACAACTTTAGTTCCAAAGAGAAAGAGACGGAAAGTGCTGGAAGGATCTAGGATCAAGTCTTAGCATATGGCTACTCTTGAAAGGAGGAAGACAACTAGCTGAAGTCCAGCTATCCAAGCAGTCAGCGTGGAGAGGACATCTGGGACTCTTAATTGATAAAGGACTGAGAAAACCTCTGGAAAACTGATCTGGAGTCACTTGGTTATTTAGTAACACCTTGCCTGGAAAGCAGTTCCTTTGACTTCTCCTCCTTGCCCCTTTGCACCACACAAAAAAGGTCACAATCATTCCCTCTGCAACCTTTTAAAACATATATGAAACAACACAGATTTCAAGTGATTTCTTAAGAAAATGATCATATTTTACAAATTACTGAGGAACTGGATTATCTTCTAGACAGAAGACAGTTTGGTTTTTTTATACTTTAAGATAATAATAAAAAGAAAAACCTATTTTCTTTGATCTATTGTGAGAGCTTTAGCTTTTACATATATAAAACATGTTTTTGTGATTCCAGACATAAAAATTATCTGTAAGACAATACTAAATCTTTTAAAAAATCTGATAAATCCCTAAGTGCTTGAATGATGACAATACATTTTAAAAACATCATCCTTCAAGACATACAAAGTTGAAGCCCCAGGTATAACAAAATCAGGCACCTTCTTCCAGAAGCACAGCCTTTCTGAAGGCACACACCTCCCCCTACCCCTCCACCCCCACCCCATCCTACCCCCGACACATTCCGTCACACCACTTTGTAACTACAAGCAATGAGGAATCCATCACCCTGTGTAGTTGCTTACTGCTAACATGGAAACAAGATTCAACAGAACAGAGGGATCAAATCCTCAATCTCTCTGGGAGAAGATACTAAAAGATCTGAAAACACTTATGCCAGAGGCGTTTAACCAGTAAATACAAGAACTAAGTGTTAACAAGTTTTAATAACCAGGAACAGTTAACGTTTTAATAACCAGGAACAGTTAACGCTGGCAAGCGTGACTTGTGCCCTTCTTTATTAGATTTTTCATTAGATTTGTATTAAATCACTCTAGCAATTATTTTTAAAAATATTTTCTTTTTGGGGAGCCTGGGTGGCTCAGTGGGTTAAGTCTCTGCCTTCCGCTCAGGTCAAGCCCCACATCGGACTCTCTGCTCAGCAGGGAGCCTGCTCCCCCCCTGCCCCCCTCTGCCTGCCTGTCTGCCTGTTTGTGATCTCTCTCTCTCTGTCAAATAAATAAATAAAATCTTCAAAAAAAAAATTCTTTTTCTCCAGTCATAAAACAACTGCATGAGGAAATTAATTACCAACGTTCTATATGGGGGTCAATGAAAATGCTGAGTGGTGTCAAGTCCCAGAATATCTCTATCATACACCATTAATTCTACTGGGAATAGTTAATAAAAAATACAAAAGAGCATCTTTGTTTTTTTTTAACTTGGAATATTAATTTCCACAGAATTCACTAAAAAAGGAAAAGGTAGATTTATGTTGATGTACATGCTATGTTTTACTTCCATCATCTGACTGATGTATCAATTGACTTTTATTAAGGATGAGATTTTTTTTTTTTAAAGATCTTATTTATTTATTTGACAGGCAGAGATCACAAGCAGGCAGAGAGAGAGAGAGGCGGAAGGAGACTCCCTGCTGAGCAGAGAGCCCGATTCGTGGCTCGATCCCAGAATCCTGGGATCATGACCTGAGCCAAAGGCAGAGGCTTTAACCCACTGAGCCACCCAGGTGCCCCAAGGATGAGATTTTAAATGACTAAAATGTAATTCTATGTTTCTCTTAAGTTTTCAAAGCATGGGTGTCAAAGAAACTTATGCCGTCACCCATTTTATTCATGAAAGACTCTATGCTCCCAAGTCAAGAAATTTAAATGTATCTTCTATTTTCTCCCACCAACCCACAGTTATCAGCTAACATTAACAGACTTATACAAGGAGATGTGAGATAAGGAGATATTACAAAAGGAGATGTGGCCCTTAAATAGACATGGGGAACCTAATTTGTAATTAACATGACCTTAACAAAAATTTACAGGAAACATACTAACTCAAAAACTAAAAGAAAAAAAAAAAGTAACCTAATATAAAGGCAAAAAGAAAATCTGACTGAAATTCTGAGCTTTTCAAATAAAGTATTAAAGACAAACCTAGGATAATTTAAGCGTTAAATAAAGGTACAAGGGAAAAGAGATTTTTTTCCTAGTAAGATATTTCATGTAGTTTTACTTCAGGTTTTCTTATTTCTTATTTTTCATCTTGATTAGAAATACCAAAATGTTTGGACTTTTCCAGGTCTAGGAGAGAGTCCTAATCACGATTCAGAAGAAGCCAAGTTTTTTATTCTAAAGGCATTTCCTACGGCCAACTTTTAGGTCATTAACCTCTAACACACACAGATAAAAGCTGGAAGTCCGTGAAAATTTATCCAGACACAGTCTTCAAAAACAATGATTCTGTATCCTCCAGGCAGCCTAAAGCTGTAAAACGTTAAGAACCAAAATAGATAGTACTGAAATGTTCATAGCAGATGAAATTTTGGTTCTCAGATACAAAAGCTGACATAATCCAAAATTTGGTAAACAAAATGAATACTATCTTCCAACAATCACCATATACAATTCTAATACTTCAAGTTGAGATCTGCATCAACCTACTTGAAATATTATACTTTTCTATAAAAAGGACATTGCCCATCCACTCAATTCTGTAATGTAGATACCAAATCCCAGTATTTCTAGATCAGCCCTTACACAACACTGGTTGGTAACAAATCTACCCTAAATTTAGTGGAACACAGAAGGTAATTAATTTCCTTCCGCAACTTCCTAATGGTAAAACAAAACAAAAACAAAACAAACAAACTATGATTTATGCAAATATATTATTGGCTTTCAAAACAAAAGGTTGGAACAAACTATGAAGAAATCAAGTTGAAGTTCATAAATCTCCTATTTTTAAAATAAGACCATGACATCAGTCAATGTAATAAGATCCAGATCTAACAGAAAGTTCAGCTGACTTAAATTCTTCATCATCATGGCAAAAGTTTATCATTTCCTTTGCATAAAATCCATAGCATAAAAAACAATCACAGATTTCTGGAACATATAGGAGAACACTAATTCTTGACTCGGATCCATTTATACCATTTGCAGACCAAATAACGTGTTTGCTTGATTACCTGAGAGAATTTTTTTTTTAAATTAAGATTGTCCCAGGAATAAGTAAGCATTTTGGCTTACAACGCCCATAAGGACAAAATCTAGAAAGTTTCTTCAGCTTATCCTGAAATCACGAATATGTGACATTTATAAGTAAATGCAAAGTGTCTGTTTCCTCAATTCAGTTGATTATCATTAATCCTCCATTTGCCTGAAAATCCTAACAAGTTGGAGAATAACCACATTACAAACTGTACAACATAGTAATAATAAGGAAACAAAATTAGGCTACTTACAAACTTCCTCTTCTGGGGAGACTGAGCTCCTTCTGCAAAAGAAAAACAAAACAAAACAACTACATGAGAGGTCACATTAACCTTAGCCTAGTAAGGCACCAAACAGATAGCCTAATTCTTCATTATGCTTGATTTAGCATTTTCCACAAGGAAAAGATTTCAACGTCATGATTTTAGGCTGGATCCCTTCTTACATTGTTCTCTTTACATGCTGTGTTGAAATTACAAACATAGTTCATCTAAATTCCAAAACAGAAAAGGCACGAATCCTCTCAAAGCAAGGACAATAGGATACTAAGTTGAGCTTCATGGCCCTAAAATTGAGCTTCGGGAAAACTGGAGGAACCAAAGGACTTATCCAAAGAGGAAAGGAAGGGATAGAAGGAGGAGCAGAAATTTTGCAGGATTATAATTAAATGAGAGGTGAAATGAAAAAAAAACAAACAAACAAAAAAAACACACACACACAAAAACAAAAAACAAAAAAACAGTGAAATCCAGCTATTCACCCCCAATAAAAATAAACTCATGCAAGACACTGTGCATACCAAAGATTACACGTTATTATGATTTGCTTAAATAAAGCCAAAGATTTCCTTCTGGTTTCATTTCTTAACATAAATGCAGTTTAGGACTTTGGTTATTTAAAAGTAGGTTAATGAATCTCTCGAAAGGTAACCAGACAGCAACAATTAATGGAGTGCTTTAAAGTCTTCAAAAGGGTGATCTCACACTAATCACAAACTAAGATCACTATCCACCTAACTATAGGGGAGACTGTGAAAACAAACAAACAAACAAAAAAGCCAACCAAACAAACAAACAAAAAGGGATACAGAAATATCTTCACCCAGGAATGGAGATTTCAGAAGCTTTGGTCCTCAGGAATGATTACGTGATAACAATAATTAAGAAATAGAAAGCCATGAGTCATCAGGCTATTTAAACAAACAAACAAACAAAAGAAAACCAGTATAAATTTGAAAGACTTGACTAAATTTAGTTTTTCATTCCTATAATTACCTTTTTTTTTCTTTCTTTTTTTGCCTTCCAGAAGTTTTTTGAAAGGTGTTTCCCCCTCGGCTTCAAATTCACCTTTCCTGTCCCCTATTTTTATTGGTTCCTTAAATGTGTGTCACAGACAGTGACCGCAGATCTTACTTCTAAACAGCATAATTTATCCCAGCACAGCTTACAGAACACAGCCTTGAAAGGAGCAGGCCGAGGGGAGGACGTTGCTTTAAATGTAACACGCCTTACTTATTAACTGGCAAATGTATTCCCATAGAGTTATAATAATCCTATCACTGTTCAATTACAAGAAGAAACAAGGAAACCATTTTAGAAGCAGGAGCTCTTTCTCCTCTCAAGGGCCTCAAGGTTCAGGGATGAAACACTGTATTTTTGTTTTGTTTCGCTTTTTTCTCCAATCCTTGATTATCTCTGAGAAATTACAGGGCTTGCTCAACTTGGTTGCTTGATTGTGAAACCTAAGTGCACCTTCATTTACTAAAACCCCTAAGGACAAGATGAAAAGTCTCTGGCCAAGCCTGTTTTCCTTGTGAACTGAGATGTAAATGGAAAACCAATGAGCAAGTCTATCTTTGGTGATGACAAGCACTGAGACATGTGTTTTGTTTGCAGGTTAAAAAGAGAAAAGAAGGAAGAGAAGAACAACTCCCTAGAAGCAATCGTTCACAGGTCCGTGTGTCTATTAGAAAGGAATTATGGAAGCCTGCTGCACAGCAAAGGCCTAGAGCTCGAGAAAGGAAACGCTGTGGTCCTATGAGCTGATCTGACAACAGCGCAGCAAGAAAAGGATGCAGGGCTGATGGGTTATCATTAATAACAGAGTCAGTCAGATGTTATTTCAACTCCATATGCAAATAGATCACTCATGATATGAGAGGCAAAGGGCCAAATGAATGATCCCCAAATAGTTCAATCAATCACAGTCCACCAAATGACCCAACCGTAAGCTGGCTGCTCTGCTCTGAGAAGAAAAAAAAAAAAAAAAAAAAAACCAGAAAAAACCCTGCTGAAACAGCAAGATAAGGGATAAAAACCAACTCTGTTTTTAATCAGAAGTCTTTCCAATAGGCCCAGCATCTAGCATGATGAGCTCCAGGCAAGGAGAAAGGTCACGGTGGGTAACCTGGTGCTCCAGGACGAGGAGCAGAGGACGTTTAATCAGCCACCGTCGACTGACCTGAAGCCTCCACGCTAACCAAGCTGAGGGAGCTAATCCACCTGACAGTTTGAATGTCAGACTCGGCACTGGAAACTCAATTTGGGAGCAAATTGGAATCAGATGTGATGGTAATAAAGTGAGAGAAATGAGTGCGCTGTGGCCAAGACCTTGTGAACAGCGGCTGCAAAAGGCGGCAGATTCCAGGAGGACCCAGCGATCGCAGACAGAGCCATGGGTGGCTCACGTGTGGGGACCACACGCTGGGCGGATTCCAGGAGGACGCAGCGATCGCAGATGGAGCCATGGGTGGCTCACGCGTGGGGACCACACACTGGGTGGATTCCAGGAGGACCCAGCGATCGCAGACGGAGCCATGGGTGGCTCACGCGTGGGGACCACACGCTGATCGATCCGCGGCCCGCAGAAGTCAGTGAGCGGCGGCAAGGCATTTACTGCCGAAGCCCCTGTGGTACATCGTGCACGTGTCTTCATTTTATTTTCTTAATGTCAGGTGAAGGGCACTAACACATACTTAGATAATTAGGTAAGACATAAGGTATTGGTCCGAGTCATAAACCAAAGCTTCTGCTTAGGAGATCGGGAACACGCGTTAATAATTTAGCATCAGGTAAGGATTAGGGGAGGGAAGAAGTGTGGGACAAAGAGAGTAAAGGTCAGGAAGTATCTGCCTGAACTAAACAATATGGAACTATTAATCATCACAGGATTAAAGACATTCCTAAGAGTACATTCAAGAACATTAAAAATTTTTTTAAAGATTTTATTTATTTGACAGAGAGATAGAGGGCACAAGTCCGCAAAACAGCAGGCAGAGGGAGAGGGAGAAGCAGGTTTCCTGCTGAGCAGGGAGCCCAATGCGGGGCTCAATTCCAGGACTGTGGGATCATGATCTGAGCTGAAGGCAGACACTTAACCGACTGAGCCACCCAGGAGCCCCAAGAACATTAAAAATTTTTAAATGGTTTTCATGGATACTGATTTCTCAGTGACTTCTAACATCTTTTTAGAATTGCTGTGTATCATTACTTGCTGACAGTACGATTTCCTTTGCCCCCCCCCTTTCTAAAAGTGCTAACTAGCTTATATGCATTCGGAAAATAAGGGTGAAGCTAAGTTAATTTTGTCTGAGAACACTGTGACCTTCTTGTGATTCCTGGATAAGAGTGAGGACAAACAAAGGTCCCTCAAACCCAGTAAGAGAATTCTAGGAGAATCTGGGAACAAAAGAGCCCTAACAAATGATTCAGCTTCTTCTTCCCACCCGGCCCCCCTCCACCCCGTGCCCCCCCCCGACCCCCGTCAACCTTGGGCACAAAAGAAGAAAATAACTTGTTTTATTCATGAAGGCAAGAGAGAAAACTGCAATGTTTCATATGTATAGACAATTTCCACATGGTAATTTTAAAAGAATGTACTATTTAATATGGTTTTTTTTAAGGTTTTATTTATTTATTTGACAGAGACACAGTGAGAGAGGGAACACAAGCAGGGGGAGTGAGAGAGGGAGAAGCAGGCTTCCCGCTGAGCAGGAAGCCCAATGTGGGGCTTGATCCCAGGACCCCGGGATCATGATCCAAGCAGAAGGCAGACACTTAACCGACTGAGCCACCCAGGTGCCCCTATTTAATATTTTTAATAGTTATACATACAAAATTAGAACAATATGTTCACATATGTTTAGGGACTCTTTGAGCTGTTCTTTTTAACTGATGGGTCATTCTGTGATTTAAAAGAAAGAAGATGTGATTATATCACAAATAATATATGTTGGAGCACCTGGGTGGCTCAGAGAGTTAAGACTATGCCTTTAGCTCAGGTCATGATCTCAGGGTCCTGGGTCTCAGGGTCATGATCTCAGGGTCCCCCTCTCTCTGTCTGCCTTTCTGCCTAGTTGTGATCTCTCTCTGTCAGATAAATAAAATCTTTAAAAAAAAAATATATATATATATATATATGTAGATAACCCTCTCTCTAAGAGGTGGAGCTTAATTCTCTTTCCCGTTAGATTGGCTGGATTTAGTGACATACTTCCAAAACTAGAATAGGGAAAGGGAAAAATAACAACTTTTTTTTTTTAGATTTTATTTATTTATTTGACAGAGAGAAATCACAAGTAGGCAGAGAGGCAGGCAGAGAGAGAGGGGGAAGCAGGCTCCCTGCCAAGCAGAGAGCCCGATACGGGGCTCGATCCCAGGACCCTGGGATCATGACCCGAGCCGAAGGCAGAGGCTTTAACCCACTGAGCCACCCAGGTGCCCCAAAAAATAACAACTTTTCAGTGGAGAAACCTGACAGACAAGGTCTTAACCAAGTGATTCAGATTAACACCACCTGCTAAGTTATGTCGCTCTCATGTGCTCCTGATACGATGTTATGGGAAGGGGCTTCACCTCTCGTTTTCTTGCTAAAAACCCTTAAGTCCAGTCTAATCATGAAAAAAAACATAAGGCAAACCCTAGTTGAGGGTCGTTCTACAGGAACACCTGACCAGTCCTCTTTAAAACATCAGAATTGTGAAAAACAGGGAATATTTGAGAAACTGTCAGAGATTAAAGGAGGAGGGAGAGAAGATGACTAAATGTAATCTACGTAGGATCCTGAGCTAGTTTCTGGATCAGAAAAAGGGGGAAACCTGCTAATATCCAAATAGAGTCTGAGTTTAGTTAATAGTAATATACCAGTGTTAATTTCATAGTATTGACAAATGTATTCAGACTATAAAAGATATTAACATAGTGGATGGGTGCCTGGGTGGCTCAGTCAGTTAAGCATCTGCCTTTGGCTCAGATCATGTTCTCTGGGTCCTGGGATCAAGACCCG